TCAATTGTTAATTTTGGCTTAGAGCAGTGCATTGAGGAGAAGTCTCTTGACTAAAGGTGCCAAAACAGATTAGATGCCATCCACGGATGCAGGAGAGGAGAGAGGCCAAAATACCCATGGAGTAGCCAGATTTGTTACCAATCTCCACGTATATGTCTACTCAGCTGGGTCTTGTGGCCTAAAGACATCTTCTCTCCTCATAGTCTCCATCACACTTTGTGCTCAGATCCTTAAACTTTCAACAACAGGGAACAGGGTGTTTATCATGTAAAATGGCAAATTTTGAGATATAATATGGTAATGGATAAGAGATATATAAAGTGTTAATGAAATGGTCCTTGAAGACTGGGTAGGAATACATGGAGAACAAGATGGGGAAAGTGGTATACATCTGAAGGAAATGAAATCAATTTCTTGGAGAGAGATCTGCACTACCACCTTTATTACAGCATTATTCACAGTAGCCAAAATATGGAAATAACCTAGTGTAATTAAAATTACCTTTCAGTTCAGTTCAGTCACTCACTCGTGTCCGACTCTTTGTGACCCCATGAACTGCAGCACGCCAGGCCTCCCTGTCCATCACCAACTCCCGGAGTCCACCCAAACTCATGTCCATTGAGTTGGTGATGCCATCCAACCATCTCATCTGCTGTCATCCCCTTCTCCTCTCGCCTTCAATCTTTCCCAGCATCAGGGTATTTTCCAATGAGTCAGCTCTCCGCATCAGGTAGCCAAAGTATTGGAGTTTCAGCTTCAGCATCAGTCCTTCCAGTGAACACCCAGGACTGATCTCCTTTAGGATGAACTGGTTGGATCTCCTTGCAGTCCAAGGGACTCTCAAGAGTCTTCTCCAACACCACAGTTCAAAAGCATCAATTCTTTGGCACTCAGCTTTCTTTATAGTCCAACTCTCACATCCATTTGTGACTACTGGAAAAACCAAAGCCTTGACTAGACAGACCTTTGTTGACAAAGTAATGTCTCTGCTTTTTAATATGCTGTCTAGGTTGGTCATAACTTTTCTTCCAAGGAACAAGCGTCTTTTTATTTCATGGCTGCACAAGGTCCTTAATTTGCCCATGTAGTGTAATAAGCATTTTAAAATGTTAAACCAAGCACTCTATAAATTATTCACTCTAAACTCTAAGAAACACTGAATAGAGCAATGAAATCTACAAAAATACCAGATATCTGAGCATTCAAACTTTTCTGCCTTAAAGTACCTGTCAAAACACTAGAAGAGGATGCAGGGTGGGTAGAAAGTTTCTACTTTCCTATAGATTTTATTCCATATTTTAGAAAGTAACTACATTTAATATTTGTTAGTGCATTTGTTTATTTTGAAACAGTGTATATAATAGAACCTCAAGAAAGGCTCAGAACATAGTAGTTTACATGTTTGCTGGATTTTAATTTAAATCTTGTTTATTAATTAAACCCACATACAAACTGTTCTTTGAAAAGGCATTCAGAAGGCATTGGTTGGCTTCCTCTCCCCAAGTGGGCATCTTCTGTGTGGTCCAACGAAGAACTATCACTCTTGCCATTTATGCTAGATTCAAGACACTTTACCATAGTGCTGGAAATGTGTTTTGAAGAAAGATAATATTTTTACCCACAAAACTTGAAAGTTGGTAATGTTCAGTGCTGACAAGGGTATAGGAAATAGGCACTTGTGCACTTTCAGTAGGAGTGTGAACTATTTAAACCTTTTTGGAAAAAATGCATCCTATAAGAGAAATAAAAGCACAAGTTCTTGTAGTGGCAAATACTGAAGCCACTATATTCATTAGGAACATACGTTCATTAGGAAAATAATTGAAATTATAGCATTTGTGCACTGTGAAAAATGAAGTATCTAAAAAAAAAAAGATCTCTATGTACTGATTTTAAAAGTACCCATGGTATTTTTAAGTTCAATAAATTGTGAAATAATGAGCAAAATATAATACTTTGTTCACACAAAAACTGAAATCTAAAAGAGCCAGAATGGTATATAATATTTTACCTTATCCATGTATATCATTTGATGGTTCTGATGTTAAAGAATCTTCCTGCAGTGCAGAAGACCCAGGTTTGATCCCTGGGTGGGAAGATCTCCTGGAGAAGGGAATGGCAATCCATTTCAGTATTCTTGCTTGGAGAATTCCAAGGACAGAGGAGCCTGGTAGCTTATATAGTCCATGCGGTCACAAAGAGTCAGACACAACTGAGTGAGCAGCACCTATATATATACTAGGTATATATATATATATACACACACACACATACAGATGTATATTTATATATATTAAGCTTTTTAATTTTGGGTTATAAAAGCAATAATTAGAAAACTGGTCAACTACTTGTAAAAGAATGAAACTAGAACACTTTCTAACACCATACACAAAAATAAACTCAAAATGGATTAAAGATCTAAATGTAAGACCAGAAACTATAAAACTCCTAGAGGAGAAAGGCAAAACACTCTCCGACATAAATCACAGCAAAATCCTCTATGACCCACCTCCCAAAATATTGGAAATAAAAGCAAAAATAAACAAATGGGACCTAATTAAACTTAAAAGCTTTTGCACAACAAAGGAAACTATAAGCAAGGTGAAAAGACAGCCTTCAGAATGGGAGAAAATAATAGCAAATGAAGAAACAGACAAAGGATTAATCTCAAAAATATACAAGGAACTCCTGCAGCTCAATTCCAGAAAAATAAATGATTCAATCAAAAAATGGGCCAAAGATCTAAACAGACATTTCTCCAAAGAAGACATATAGATGGCTAAAAAACACATGGAAAGATGTTCAACATCACTCATTACCAGAGAAATACAAATCAAAACCTCAATGAGGTACCATTACATGCCAGTCAGATTGGCTGCTATCCAAACGTCTACAAGCAATGAGTGCTGGAGAGGGTGTGGAGAAAAGGGAACCTTCTTACACTGTTGGTGGAAATGCAAACTAGTACAGCCGCTATGGAAAACAGTGTGGAGATTTCTTAAAAAACTGGAAATAGAACTGCCATATGACCCAGCAATACCACTCCTGGGCATACACACTGAGGAAACCAGATCTGAAAGAGACACGTGTACCCCAATGTTCATCGCAGCACTGTTTATAATAGCCAGGACATGGAAGCAAACTAGATGCCCATCAGCAGATGAATGGATAAGGAAGCTGTGGTACATATACACCATGGAATATTACTCTGCCATTAAAAAGAATTCATTTGAATCAGTTCTAATGAGATGGATAAAACTGGAGCCCATTATACAGAGTGAAGTAAGCCAGAAAGATAAATACCAATACAGTATACTAACACATATATATGGAATTTAGAAAGATGGTAACAATAACCCTATATGCAAGACAGAAAAAGAGACACAGATGTATAGAACAGACTTTTGGACTCTATGGGAGAAGGTGAGGGTGGGATGATCTGAGAGAACAGCATCAAAACATGTATATTATCTAGGGTGAAACAGATTGCCAGTCCAGGTTGGATGCATGAGACAAGTGCTCGGGGCTGGTGCACTGGGAAGATCCAGAGGGATCCGGTGGAGAGGGAGGTGGGAGGGGGGACCGGGATGGGGAATACATGTAAATCCATGGCTGATTCATGTCAATGTATGGCAAAAACCACTACAATATTGTAAAGTAATTAGCCTCCAACTAATAAAAATAAATGAAAAAAATTTTTTTAAAAAAGCAATAATTAGAAGATAAATATACTGCTGAACCTTGAGAAGGACTCCTATTGGGTATTAAAAATACTTTTAAATATTCTTCCATTATGGGACATTTGATTTCCTTAAGTGAGTTAATTTGTTCTCAGTGGCATTGGGAATTAATACTCTAAGACTTAAATTTCTATGCTGTTTTTAATTTCAGTTTATTAATATTTTATTTCATTTGTGTGAGCATATTATTTCCTCAGGTCAGATATCAACCCTCTCCTAATTTCTTGATAGTTAGAAACCAATAAAGATTTAATAAGAGCAGTCTGCGAGTGGGCACACAGGCATGGGGCAAAGTGTGCATTTGAATCAGGTGGTGGTATTTTAATATTTTAACAACTTTATCTATGTGACAATAAAATTCAGTTTCAAAAGTTTTTTTAAAAGTATGTTTATTTTTGAATTGGAATAAAATAAGAATTTTAAGTCATCTCAAACATGTAAAGAAAAGTAAGTTTTCCTGCTGTACTCAACATGTCAGAAAGTATAAAATATGATCTCTAAAGTTGTTACTATATGTTTCTCTTATGTTGTTTTAATATACAGTTATTCCTCTTCCAAGTGTATTTGTTACTCAATGCCTAGTATATGGTTGCTAAAGATATTCTATAGAGATAGCCTTGCAGAAATTTTTTTTTCCTAAAAATAGCTTGTACACTTTTATTTCATGGAAAGCAGCATTAGGAACTTAGCCCTATTGAGAATTTATTTCTTGCAAGTACTGTCAAAATGCTGGGTGAATTTATTTCTGTATAATTATATCATATTTTATGTTGGGGCTAAAATAGACACGTGTAATCCATCAGTATGAGTTCCCCTGCGTGGATAAATGAATCAACAAAGTCACCTGAATAAATCATTTTCATTTTCAACTCAGTTTTGTGGAAGTCAACTGCTCTCACACACCTTTATTCTCCATTCATCACTGACTATATCTCTACTTCAGACACTATTTCTGTGTTAGTCTTCCTTGGTTGAATTATGTAGGACTTCCCATGGAAAATGTTTTTCACATTATATTTGTTGTTCTAATCTGAGTCAAAACAAGGATTCCTGTAACTACTGTGTTTTTATTTTGAGTCTAAAGAATTTCATGAATTTCGAAACCTTCAGAGAACTGGGTGATGATGCTACTGTGTGAATTCACAAAATGATTTATTATATTGACTGTTTTCTAGAGTTTGCATTTAGCTATACATGGTCCCTCATGGGAGAAAATAGACATAATAAATTTAATTTTTATATATCTTTCTTGCTTTTCAGAAAATAAATACTGCTGGAACCAGTAATGCAGATATCCCTTTGGCTGAGCCCGGAATGTACCAATTGGACATCACATTGAGAAGGGGTCAAAGTTTAGCTGCCCGAGATCGAGGAGGTAAGAACAATGTCACCTGGAAGCTTAGTCTCTGTATTTTTGACAAACTTTGTTTCCCTTGTGGTTTCTTAAGTTAAGAAAGATCAACCATGATATGAATTTTAGAAGTCTGGGTTCAATGATGTGGCTCAAAATGTTGTCTGACGTCTGTGACCGTGGAGGAAGAGGTTATGATACAAGTTCAAGAACTCTGGACTCATCCCAACCCAGACAGTGAGGTTCCTGTCACACTGCTGACAAGTTAGACCCTGCATTATATATAATTAGTGACAGAATCAGTTGAGTAGATGAGGCACATGTTTGAAGCCATATTGGAATTCAGCTTTTCACAGACCAGAAATTCTTTTTGCTGCATAGATTTGCTCCTTTGAATCTCATAAAACTGCACAATCTAGGACTCACATCTCACCAAAACTTTGGAGATTCCCAACATGGGATTTTCTTAAATTTGACTGGACCTGGCAATAATCCCATGGTGGATTAACAGGATTTTGTAGGCCATGATGAAAAGGAAGACAAGGCAAATACACTTCAGTTCCTGGATTGCATATCCCAAGGCCATCTCCTGATGAACTAGCTTGGGGTACATTAATTATTCCTTGAACCCTGGTTAGGGGCAGGACAAAAGGTAGACCCTAAACAGACTTTCTAGCGTCTTTTGCATGTTTCAAGCTTCCAGATGTGGAGATCTGAAGGCCCTGAGGGCCCACATTCCTAAGGAAACTGAGTTTGAATTTAACTCCTCCCACTGAGAAGGAAGAGAGTCCCTTAGCCTCTAACTCCTTGTCAGATAACCCTGAGTGCTCCTGGCATCACAGAATCTCGTTTTTTCTTCTCCTACCCTAATTGACATCCGCACTTAGGAAGTGAAAGGAAGCAAACACGACCACAGCTGATTAGTCATGTCTGACTCCCTGGGACCCCATGGACTGCAGCCCGCCAGGCTTCTCTGTCCATGGGATTCTCCAGGCAAGAATACTGGAGTGGGTTGCCAAGCCCTTCTCCAGGGGATCTTCCCAACCAAGGGATTGATCCCGGGTCTTCTGCATTTGCAGGCAGGCTCTTTACCATCTGACTCACCAAGGAAGCCCCTCCTGTCTCTACAAACATAGAGAAAATGACTAATGTAGCAGTGGGGATTTTAAGATTAGAAATGATACAAATAATAGATTTAAGTAAAAACTAGTAAATGTCAGAATATTATTAATGAATGAAGGTATGATTAGAAAAGTTAGAATTTAAACACGGGGGAATTTTCATAATTAACCATCTGGTTGGCGGGCTGTGGTCCATGGGGTTGCAAAGAGTTGGACACGACTTACCAATGAACACTTTTAGTTTTTTCTCTTTTAGTAGCTGAAGACAAATATATATGGAATTGAAATGGTGGTCTCCAAAGAAGTTACAGTTAGCTTGGAGGGAAAAACAGTGCTATTATATAATATTTCACTATATAGATATAAAAATCATTTTTTAGTCCTCAGAGCAATCTTTTACATTACTTCATTTGACCTAAAATGGAATTGAACCAGGCATCAGGTGACCAAAAATTTTAGTCCTTGATATGTCCTCCCAATAACATTAAATAAATAAGCACATAATTATTTATTGCAAACTTTTTTATAGTTAACAAAATGCCCATAAATAGAAGAGATGGTTAAATAAGCCTTGGTACATTTGCAGGATGAAATAATATGCAGTTGTAAAATAAATAAGAAAAATCTCTAGGAACTGATATGGAACAAGTTACCAGATTTATTATTAAATGAAAAGTCAAAGTGCTAAGAATATCAACAGTATGAAACTTAGGTAAGAATGGAGTATAAGGGATTATGCATTATCTGTTCATTTCTTCAAAAAGAACTATCAGAAGTTAAAATTCAGAAACAAATAAGACTGATAACATGCACAATATCTGTAAGAATAGGTGTTTAGAATGTAGGATAGGAATGCGTTAAAAAGGGTAAGGAAGAAGTTTCCTGACATTTTCTTCAATGAACTTTCTTATATGATTCTAACTCTTTAACCACAGCAGTATTACAGAAATGAATGAGTAGATGGATAGACAGATGAATAGATTGATAGATGCACACATCCTGGTTGATATCTAACCATAACCACACCTCAGGGGGACAGGGAATAAAATAGCTAATCTAAGTGATTAAGTAAAACCATATTTGGATTATACACTGTAAAACTCAAGACAAAAAGAGCTAGATATAACTGATGTATTTCAAAGCATGATTATCAATTCTGAAACTACATCCTGAATATAGTAGGAAAGAACAACTAATAAATATATTGTAGATGAGAAGAGCCAGATTTCTTATTGTTGGAGAAAGAAGCTACATACATGGAGTGGGGGAAAGCTAGAATATATCTTGTGGTGTTAGAAAAGTAGCAGTAGGAACTTATGGTTTCTTATTTATATATATACAGATAGGAAGTAAGATGGATAGGGATGTGTGTAATCTATCTGCTGAGAGGACCTTGAAGCCATCACCAAGTTGTAATGACAAAGTGGAAATCTATACACTTTTGGCCCAGATCTTGGTTTCTAAATACAGTTCCCCCAGTAGAAGTAAGCAGGGCTCCTGGTGATATGGTTGATTGTGTATCTAGGGCAGGGAAAGTACAAGACGAGCCCAGGACATTTTACAGTGCCAAAAAATAAAGTACTCAAAAATGGATGGCAGAATGTCAAAACGAAATAGGAGCCAACTTAAAGGCATTCCTAATGATCAAAGCTGGTATAATTCAGCAACAAAATAAATAGTGGTAATGATAAATTATAACCCATAGAATAATATAGATGTCTATGAGCTCATTGATAATTGTGTATCATGATAAATACATAATTGAATAAATAAACAAGTGTGGGATAAGGTAAAGCTTTTCCTTATGGTGGAATTCTAATGAACAAATGTCTATGGAAAAATAGGAATAGGAGATCACCTTTTGACAAGTGTCACTGTAATAATTATTATAGGCAATAATCATCCATTGATGTTAAAATTGTTATTTAGTCTCTTAGTCATGTCTGACTCTTTGTGACCCCATGGACTCTAGTCTGCCAGGTTCCTCTGTCCATGGGATTTCCCAGGCAAGAATACTGGAGTGAGTTGCCATTTCCTTCTGCAGGGGTTTTTGCGACCCAGGGATTGAACCCGTGCCTCCTACATTAGCAGGTGGATTCTTTACAGCTGAGCTACCAACTATATATGCAATATTATGATGGGAGATTGGCCATTTGCATCATTTCAGAGTATTTCTCCCACAAGATATGTATGAATTACAAAGGGGAAAAGGTTATTTTACAGTAGAAAAACTTGGAAGACATCCTTTTAACCAAGTGCAAAGTTAACATCAGCAGTAATGAGACCAACAGACATAATGGACCTCCTGATATGATGCATTGAGAAAGGTACATCCTGTTTGGGGCATTCTTGTCAGCGATGCATAAAGTCAATGTCGTCATGAGAAAACATCAGGCAAAGTCTTGCAACATATGATGCCAGTAATCTGAGCTACTTAGCAGCAGTCCTTTGGGCAAGGCATGCACCATCTTGTTCCACCATTCGTGTCTTCACAGTTGTGAGTCTAGATGGCATCATGTGTGTACCACCATCTTTCTTGTGGTAGCAAATTATTCTGTATAGACATCTCTGCCCCAAATAGGAACTTTTTAAAGATAAAATGGGATGACCATGTTCCCAAGAAATAAGGGAGAGAAAATACTACTTTACAGAAGTGAAGACTATCCCCAAGTGTTTAAAATGAAAACTATCCCAGCTTGACTCTCTTACTCACTTGCCTGACATTTATGAAGTTTTTATTTGGTATATATGAGAGGAGATATACAAACAGAGGAAACAACCTGAGTTAAGTTTGGGATTGATTAAAACATCATAGATTCACCTGTAAATAACAAATGGTGTTAAACATATGATTGGATCGATAGCATTGGGACATGTATAAATGATAATTAGATGGAGATGGGTAGTTCACAGTGAGCAAACAAGTGGGGAAACATTATGGCCTTATGGGAGTATAGTTTTGGGATTATGGATTTGGAACTGGAGAAGGAAAGGAAAATGGGAGAGCTGGTTCAGGGAATGTCGAATAGCATCTGAGATAACTTGGGTGAGGGAGTTCAAAAAATTTTTGCAATTTTAAGACTAAGATGGCACTTTGTGGATTTTGGGGAAATGTGACTATAGGCAAACATATTTGTGTAACTGTTAGAATTAGGAGAAATTATACTCTCTTGTTTTTATACATTGATGCCCTCACCTACTGCCCAGCAAAACCCAAATGCCTGTGTCTTCCATGTCCCCTGTCACCCTTGCACTAAATAATGGAAGGAAAACTCATTTCAACCTTTCCCAAGGTTGCTAGAATTTTTATACATAGCAGGCTCTGAGCAGTCATAACTGGCTGTCCTTCTTCCACTTTTATAACCTGTTTTACAGAACAACCAGATAGCTTTGGGGAGTGCTACTACTTTTTCCTAAGTTTTATTATACCTGCTTTAAACAGCCTCATGGACCAGAAAGCACATGACCTTGGAGAGTCTGTCATACAAACTTTCAAAGCCAATCTCCACATTTTATTAGCTTTGTGACTTTGAGTGAAATGTGCAGTCTCTCTTTGCAACTGCAGGGTTCCAGGTTTAGCAAACAAAAATACACGATGCCTTGTTTTGGGGGTTTTTTTTGGTTTTGGTTGGCTGCACAGCACAGCATATGAGACCTTAGTTCCCAGAATGTGAGCATGAAAGTCGCTCGGTCGTGTCCAACTCTTTGCAACCCCCTTGGATTTCTCCAGGCCATAATACTGGAGTGGGTAGCCGTTCCCTTCTCCAGGGGATCTTCCCAACCCAGGAGTCAAACCCAGGTCTCCTGTATTGCACGTGGATTCTTTACCAGCTGAGCCACAAGGGTAATTCCCAGACCAGGGATCAAACCCGTTGCCCCTGTATTGAAAGCATAAAGTCTTAG